AAAAAAAAAAAAAACCAACACAAAAAACCCACAAACCCACAAAAAACCAAACAAAAACCAAAAAACCCTCCACACACCCCATAACAGCCCATCCTATTTCCACTGCAATGGGACATCATGTCATGCTTAACTCAGCAGTGTGGCTCTTTCCAACATGGCATCTGTTGCCATGTCTTCACTGTACTTTTGGGAAGCAGCCAGCCCCCACTGGCACTGGCACTCATCTACGTTTTCCTTATAATCAATCCAGTAGCCCATGATGCCTCATTTAGATGCTCAAAGGAGCTCTATCACTCCCATAGGGCACTGCCACAGCAGCACTGCAGGGATGGGGTTTATTTAGAGGAGGAGAGGAACACGCACTTGCGCCGCCGAGCCTCCTTCATGATGCGCTGCTCCTTGATCTGGCAATAAATGCTCTTGGGCAAGTGTCGGTGCCGAGCGATGCGCCGGATCTGGGGGTGAAACTGGAACTTCTCCTTCAGCTTCTGGTTGTAATTCATAGCTGCCTTCTCTCGGGGTGCAAGCTACAGGGAAAATAACACAGACAAGCACATTATAAAAGAACAGGGATTTACCTCTACAAAACAAAATTTTAATTTTTCATTCAAATGGCTTCTTTCTAGTATATGCCTTTAGAATACGGGTAGGTAAGTATTAAAAAACCTTAAAATTCCAACAATGTCCCAATGCTCAAACACAAAATGTTATAATTTTTAAGCTGAGTGAAGTAACCAAATTTAATTTCCGAGAATCAGATTTTAATGTGCTGCAGAGTGACAAATGAGAACATAAATAGCTGACAGTAAACACTCTTTGATTAGTCTTTCCTAACCTTGGATGACAATCAACCTTCCCTGTAAAACAAAGATTTTCAGGCATTTTAATCACTAGCCAGTGTAATTATAAATGCTATAGAGAACCTGTCTTCATGAACAGGTTTACAGACAGCTCTTGAGGTGGCTTAAATCTTATCCAGCACCCTGATCCCTTGGGAAGCACAATACACGGATCAGATTTCACATATTAGCTTGACTATATGGCACACAGGAAGTTCCAACTTTCATCAAGCAGCTAAAAAAGTCTTAGTATCACAAACACATGAAATAAAGGTGAGCTGGTATTGCCATGTTTAAAATTCTGTCCAAGCCACCATCAACGGCATTGAAAGTAAAAAACACCTTCTCCTGACAGCCAATCTACAGTAGATTTTTCTTCAATTAGGTTTTTTTTTCCTTTGGTCCTAATGTTTATTTATCAAAAGGAAAAAATGTGTTTCCTGTGGTTTTGTTCAAAGCATGCATTGCTTCATGAGGAATAGCAATCTCTAGGTATTGTGAATTTGCTTGGATCTTTGGGAATTTCAGCTGCATTTCATCTAACATAAAATCTGTTAGCATTAAATATGAGATGATGATAATCCAATCCTCTTTTTTCTTACCCTCCTGCTCAAACTCTGTAACTCCAGTATTTCAGACATCTTAAAAACCCTTCATATTTTCAATTAAACCATGGCACTAGGCTTTTGCCGTTCCACATTTATGTCACACTACTATCTCTACCTAAAATATTAAACATAAAACAATAGTTCAGGCAACTTCTATTTATTCAGCTTCGTAAATGACTCAGTGTCACTAAATTCTCACTTTCAAGAAAAGACAGAAACTGATGCTAACAAAAAGAAAAAGCACTAACAAAACCAACAACTTTATTACACACACAGCTGGAAATTTCACTTACAATGTAATGAGATGTGTTTCCCCCACCCCTTGAAACCAGCAATTGGCTATTTATTCTCCACTCTGGAGATCACTTTTGTGTGTGACTTCTGCTAGAATTTTTCATGAATTCTGAACAAATAAATATTGCAATCAGAATACCATAAATGGTCCAGAATACCATAAATGGTCTGAAAACAAGTATTGATAAAAATTACCACAAAGGAGCTTCTGATTTGGGGCAATAAAGAAACCAGGTACCAGATACAGAGTTGCTCACGGCCCAAAAATTCTTATTCAGACATCAGAGATACATGATGTTCTTATAATCTGTTTCTCCACACCTTGTTCATAAAAACTAAATCATTCTGCTTTACTTACATTCATTGTGGCCTCTGAAATTGAAATTGAGCATATTTTACAGTCTTAGCCCACTAAAGCTACCCTCCCTCTTTTATTGAAATTCCTTCTTGTGAGCCAGCCTGTGAATAGCTGGTTCACTCTCAGTGAATCCCAGGTGTTCCCACTTTGCAGAAAACTGCCAACATAATCCAAATTAAAGAGCTTTATTTTAATTAAATGCAATGATTTTCCTTTAATTTTAGAAGAGCAAATTGCTGCCGATTTAGTATAACCTTGATGATTCTACAGACAAGAGGTGAATCTGTAAATTAAAGATACATCCAGGACATCTTATTTTAAATAATACTATAGATTAAGAGGTGGTGGAGCCTGACTCCATTTTTGTGGGTACTGTGGTATAGAGAAAAGCACACAGCTGGTGACTTTCCACCCAACTACCAGATGCCAGCAGCCAATGCACCTGGCTGTGCTAAGTGCACCCTCATCCACACAATGGAAAAGAAAATTTCGCAGTAATGACAAGTTTCCTTCATGAGAGATAGCAGATAGCTAAGAAGGCACACTGCAATAACACACTGAATTTCAGCTCTCTTGCAAGTCACTTTAAAAAAGTCAGTGTGAACAGATCAAGAGAACAGTGTTACTTCCCATTATGTTTTGGGCTGAGAAGATGCACAGCATGATTTGAAGGATTAGAGATTTTATTTATATGGACTAGAACACTCTCCAATTTAATATATGTAATAAATTAGGATTTATGTGACATCATGAGGGGATGATATGCTTAAAGGTGACATACGACTGTTTTTTCGTATGTTCAAATTATGAATGTGCAATTTCTTTCCTACACAAGGAAAATTAAGATTATGTAAGAGAAACATAGCTGATTTGTGTCACTACCACAGGAGGCCTTCACAGCAAATACTCGGGGTGAAAAAAGGGGAAAAAGAACGTTTTAAATGCAACCAAGTAGTCAGCAATAGGAAAATGCCTCTTCAAGTAACTGCTCATGCCTCTTCTCCCTCCTAATGACAAAGACTGCTTATTTTTCCACCAAAGCAGAAGGAAAGTAAGCACCTTTGCAGCGTCCTGATTAGAAGCTAAAACCACCCTTAAAAAATTCTTCTCTTCAAGAGGGCTGTATTTAAAACTCCATACTAAGACTTTTTTAATTCAGCATGAGAATATGAAATTAATGTTTATCTGTCCTCTTCAGGTTTCCCTTCTAGGTTAGGGCAGACAAGAACACTGATGCAATATATTTTTAGAATCCAGATATAGCCCAACAATTTTATACACCATAGCTTGTCTTTATTTTTCTATTGCTCTGCTGAAAACACCTTCTAAATTTATAGCCGTGAAGTTCATTATTCATTCTTTCCTGGACCAAAAATTTTTATCTCTTTACATCTAAATGGATGACAAAAGCAAAAAACCAGAAAGGTAACATAGGGCAATGTAGATGTTAAGAGCATAAAATCATAGCTACAGGGTTGAAGTTACAGGTGCACTGAATCACAAGCTGAAAATCACTATGAAAAGAATGCCACAACCCACATTATCTGGTACTGCTTGTTATCAACATTATCTCAGAAAATGGAACCACATACTACAAACAGACAAAGGATAAAAAATTGCTTAAGACAGTTTTGATGTGCTCCTGCTAATGCACTTTGCTAGAACAAAACCAAGATTTCCAACAGCACTCCTATCTCTACTAGCCCATACTCAAAATCTGGTTTTCTGGTTTTTCTGCATTTTTAAACAAAGCAGTAAACCTATGCTCCACTACTGTTCACTCACTCATCAGTAGTTTCACTAAATTTCTAAGCATCCTAACCCACCGCTCTGTCCTAATTCATAAAAGTAACAGAGACAAATGTTGCAGCTGTTACTCACAGAAGTAAGAATTCACACTAAGTAGTGCAGGTATAGTTTCCTTTTTAATGTGGCAGTAGACTGAAGAGCAATACAGCTTTTGCAAGTTTTCCTAATGGTTTATTACTTTCAGTACAATTCAGAAAAACTTAGTTTATCCCTTTCTTTCTATCAGTTATATTAACTGCACACTATTAACTGAAATCTCCTATATTACTGCTGATTTTTCAGCCTTTCCACTCAGACCAGGCTCTATTTTCCTCAATAGTCAAAATAATTTACCTTTTCATAAATCCCAAATGTCTTCAAAAGCACAGGTTAAAAAAGCATTAAAAATATTTAACAAGCCATATTTTATGTATTTGAACAGTTTAGAGTTTCTCAAGTCTTTACTGAGTCTTTTATTTCTGGGCATGCAGAGACAGATGTTCACTGCTTCAAAAATAACGCCTGTTACATCCTATTTAATAATACATATTTATCAATTAATGAAAATTTATCAAAAGCCAAATGCAGAAAATTGTGTTGAAGCAACCTCTGCAGTAGCTCCAACACAGATATTTGGGTTTTGTTACCCCTATGTAAAACCCATGCAGACTTGTCAATGGAGTAGAGACACAAGATGCCTCTGGCTTCTCCAGAAACTTTTCTTCTTTCTTTCATGTTTCACTGATTTTGAATAATGAGTGCAGTGCCAAATACATTAAAATCCAAAAGAAACATGCATGCCAGAACTGATGACTGCTCTGGTGCGGTACAGAAAGTACAACTTTCCAACTGGATAAATTTTCACCAGCCACAACATGAGTACTTTATATTCATTATAACTTCCTTTGAGCTCACAATGCAAAAAAAACCCACCTAAGTACTCACCAAAAGAAAAAAAAAAAATTATTATTTTTCTTTCTCTTTCAGGATGTTGATTTCTACCTGCCCCCAGCACAAAAATATCCATCTTAAAATACAATGCATTGCAAGATTTTAGCATTATATTAGAAATACAGTGACCTTTGGATGAGTCATTCAATCAAATCGTCTCAGCAAAGGAAAATAGCAGACCAAGCAACTAGGCATTTAAGACATATTTTGACACTTCTGACAGAATTACTGAATGTTCAGCATTGAATATTCAAAACATTTAAAAAATAGCCACAGACTGTGGAATGACTGGACACTTATAAAATAAGCAAGCATATGTCTGTGAAGATAAGAACACCAATACTCTAAAAAAGAAGCAGATACTAAAAAAAAAAAAAAAAAAAAAAAAAAATCAGTGGAACCTGCTAAATAGCCATTAACAGTTGCATTCTTAAGATTCACAGGAACTACCAGGCTGGATCAAAGAGAGATTCACACTGAATCCAACCAACATTCCCAAGATATATCCAAGAGTGTAATAAGCCATGAGGACTCCTGAGTCCTATTAGCTACAATTGCTCTCTAAATGTCTGAAAAATAAAACTTCATAGTGCTCCTAAAATTTTTAAGTGACTATAGCCACTTCAAACAGCTTCAAATTCTGTCTCTTGCTAAATTCACGGCTTCACCAACACCATGCTTGAACACATTTCCACATAAGATAGGGGGATGTGAAACGTTCTTTTCTCATGAGAATGTAATTCTTCACAAGTTCTCTGTCCTGTGAAGTGAGAGCAATTTTTCTATTGCCCTTTTTAAGCTCTTCCTGTATGTCTAAATAGTTTTGCCTTCTTAAGATGACTTTTGATGTTGTGAGGAGGATTTTCACTTCTGACAGTAAAAAAAAAAAAAAAAAAAAAAAAAAAAAAAAAAAAAAAAAAAAAAAAAAAAAAAAAAAAAAAAAAAAAGAAGAAGAAAAAAATCTTCCCAAGAATAACTCAAAACAGGGGGGAAAAAAATCAAATCATAAACTACATGTCCCTTGACCTGTGTCATAGATAGTTATTGATTTGGTTCCCTGGGAGCCAGCAGCCCAAGAGCTGTGACAGAAATACACACCCTCACACACGTTACAAAAGCTTTGCTGGAACGATCCCACAGGAGCAGAACCACATTGTGGGCGCAGCCTCCAGCAGGAGGCACATCAAACAACAACACTGTACTCACAAAGAAAAACAATAAAGGCTGTTTTGTGGAGGTCAAAGAACACAAGAGTATAAATGTGCAGACCATATCCAATACCCAGTAGTCACAACTAGGTAGTGTCTTTTTTAAGGCCCATCCATGGCCACTTTTCATTGACAAAAATACTACAGAAAACAGCAGAATGTCATTTACCAGTCTACGTTCTGGACACTTGAACAATGATGTCCTTTGGTGTGCAGTATTTCTGCAATGCAGGAGTAGCTGTGTTTGCCTATTACTTCCCAGAGTCAATTATCCTTACTCTTTCATAAGAAAAGAAGCCAATGCCATCTAGTAGTCAATACAGTGAACTTTTTGTTCACATCTGAAAATATTAGCAACTCTTCCACGTGAAAATGGTATTTGTGACATTCTTTTTACCCACTTGTCCTTCACATGAAGGTCTCAGAGTAAAGATGAATGTCAAAAATACCAGACAATTCTGTTAGAGAACAGCACCTTAGAGAGAAACATCATGATCTCTTGCCAAAAATATAGTGAGTAAATGGAGAAAGCTTCAGTTAATATAATAAAATAAGGTGAAAAGGGTGCTGCCATGGGCATACGGATATAACAGAAGGAACACAGATAATATTTCTACCCAACATTGCCCTATCTAAACAAATTCAACACAAATGTTAAATCTAAAAGTCAAGTGTCTAAGAGCTTTGTGGAATCCCCAAAATTAGCAACTATGGAACTGATATTTAAGTGTTTGACCAAAGCACCACATGGGAAAATACCAATAATCAATGCAGAAGAGCAGGGGAAAAGAAAAAAAAATAAAAGAAGAAAAAAAATGTATCTGTTAAAAAAATTAAAATAAAAAAATTCAACCTAAACAGTCATTTGTAATCACAACTACTGCAGACACCACAAAGCTGTGGGGTTTTTTTTTATCTACTGCTCTGTAGTAAAACTGAGAATACTAACAGGGCTTCCCAACACCTATGGTGGGCCATGGCTACATATGTTATTTGAACAGTGCTATTCCACAGCCAGTGCTTCAGAATGCACAGCAGTCCATGAATTATCCTGTTTCCAGTGCAATCCTAAGTACTCCTCCACTCCCTCCTCCTGCCACCTCTCCCAGCTCTGCTTCACTTCCCTCCTAACAGATACTTTAAGTTGATGGAGTTTCAGGTAATCACAAGCAGTCCTAAACATTAGTATACAACAGATCCAGCATTTCAGCTGTACCACATTCTTCCCTAAATCACAGCTTCCCTTTCCTCTCCCCACAACCTTTCACAAGATCAAGCAAAAACTCCCCCAGACATTATCTGACAGCTCTGCCAATGGGCTCAGAAAAGGCAATGTAAGCACCTCCAAAATACCGTAACAATATAAAGCTACATAAAAAGATTACTCCCAGCAGATAAAGTGCCAAATTCATTCTCCAAAGTCACTCAATACTTTGACACAACTGTGCAGATGAATCTATGCAATTGGTAACTGAAAGGGAACATTTGGGCTTTGTCTGTACATAAACATTTGAACAAGTATAACCAAGAAGACTTCTCTAATGAGGCTGGTGATCGTCGACCAAACAGGCTTACATTGAAGTAAGCAGATTTCAGACACCAGCCTAGTTTGCCCACTTGGAATCTCAGAGTTACACAGGTTAACAACAATCTCGGTGTCAAACTGCACATCAGTGCAAAACAATCTCGGTGTCAAACTGCACATCAGTGCAAATAATCTACTTTACAATACATATGCTTATCACAGCATGATTTTTTTTTTTAACAAACTGCATGAATGAGCACGAGGTAATCACATGCCAGTCAAAATCTTTAAAAGTAGTAATTCTAAACTTCAATAGACTTAAGTATGGCTAAACAGAATTTATTACCTTTTTCCCAGTGGTAAAGGATGAATTCTAACCATTAGCACACAGGTAAAACATTCAAATCTAGTTTAGATAGAATTGATGATTACTGTTAACATTAAACAAGACCAAAAGAAGTCATCTTGTATAGCAATAACGAGGCATCTGATTTTCTTATTATTATTATAAGCTGCAGTAAATGCAATGAGCTGTACTGGACATGTCATAAACAAGTTTTTAAAAGTTGAAGAGGCTAACTGCTTATAATAATAACAAAACCCCCCAAACATCTTGTGATAACAAAAAGCAAAATGCAACTCTTACCACTCCCAGCTTTTCAGAAGCATTAGCTTTCCACAGGCGAATATTCATCTCATCTGAGCCACACAGAATGTACTTGTTATCTGAAGTCCATTTTACAGTGATGACGTGCTGCATTCGTTTGGTATGATAAACCTCCCTAGAGCAAAGAGAAGCATTTTTAAATCATCTACCATCACTTTTATCACCATTACCTTTCAAATAGTAGAAAGCACTCTGTTCAAGGCAAAATTATTTATATTTTCTTGCTGTTGTTTTTAAAAAAATCTGACTTTTTTAAACACCGCTGATCTTATCTTTCTATAGATAGAGATACAAAGGAAGTGTGATAGACTGATAAAGGACCACCTAGGATAGGATGCTTTTTAAAAAAGTGCTTTCACAGAAATAATAGTAAAGACTTAAATAATAACTCTTTTTGCAAGACATGCTAAGGGTATACAGTATGAAACGCATACTGTTCCTGAAATAATTTTGATTAATATGTTTTACATTGAGAGTATTACAGAATGGGAATGCAGAAAAACAGGTGCCAAAGAATCTGACACCAAACAGCAATGAAACGCTTCCCAGCTGTCCATTTATGATATGGCAATGGATTTACTACTTTTCATTGTGATTTCCCTCCTTTACCCAAAAATGGACTCCATTTCGTTTTTAATTTCTGCTGATCAGACTCCTGCTCAACAAGTGCAGTTTAAAAATGTTTCTGGATGCTACACTTAAACCAATATTTAAGTTAAACTCTTGTCTAATTTTCATGAAGGATATATAAAAAAAAAGTATTCTTATATTTCTGCTATAAAAATAAAGGATCAAATACATTTTTGGGGGAATTTTAGCTATCTATTAGCATTCTGAAAAGAAGGAAAAAGTATGGCCTATTTATTGTCTACCAAAAGCCACTCCTTTGATGCATCAGTCATGCACTACAGCTTATTTTCTTATTTCTACTCAGTTATTTTTGCACGGAAAACCCAAGTAATAATGTATAAGAAACAACAAAGCAACACCTTTTCAAGTGGTGTGGAGAAATTAGACTGGGGCTGAGCTGAAGTGGTTGTAAGGAAAAGTAATAATCATATTGAATAAATAAGCTTTAGTAAGCTTAATCACCTCTTTTAATTCACCAGCAAGCAATACTCTACAAGAACAAGTATATGGAAGACTGAGCACATCTACCATCAGAAAACATTAATATTCCCATCAGCTTTTCTCTGTTCAATAGCACGTGTGCACATTTGCACTTTCACAAGAATTTCTATGTTTACTTTCCTTCTACCACATAACGGGAGCTAAGTTCTTTTCCTTTTCGTACTTTGAATTTGCAGCCTTTGCCTTTCCCGTGGCTGTCATCACAAGGCATTAAATGTCATTTTTCAGGGACAGGAAGAACAGAAAACATGGCCAAATAACCTGGATCTGTCATTTAGAAGTTTGCACAGAAATACAGTTCTGTTTACTAAGCATTTACTAAATTTAATCACCTTCATAAAAAACCTTATTTCTTAAGGCTAAACAATTATTTAAATTTTCATTTAAAAATAAAATAGAAAGCTATTGAAGTTAGGGGGTTTTCAGATTGGCAGAACAGCAGAAGTAAAAACTAGAATAGCACCAGGATCCTTATTTACAGGTATTCCTAACTGCCCTCTCAGTTTTCCAAGCAAGATCAGATCTTCTATTTAGAGACTTTTCTCCATTCCATGACATTAATATGAACTGTGCAATTCTCAAGAAGCCCAGCTTTTAAAGAATTTGAAGTGTACCAGAACACTCTAATCAGTTTACACGAGGCAAAATTTGTCATTTGTAAAGCTTCTCCTCACTAGATGTATGGCTACAACACAAAAGGGGAAAAAGTGTGGACAAAGAGAAAAACCCCTTCCATAGGCCTTGACAACAATCTGCTAAAATGTGAAATAAAGCCTTTTACTGCTTTGTCATGGGGTCTGCAAACTTCTCCTCAGTGATGTGTGTTAACTTTGCATATCACCACTTCTGTGTACATTATTAATTCGTACAATGAAGTTGCTAACCATATTGTTTAATAATGCAAGTCAGAAAAAAAACCCCAAGCCAACAAAGAAACTGCACTACCTAATTACATTTAAAGTATTATTGCAAGACAAAAAGAACATGAAAAGGATCTGTAGATTAGATATAGAGAGAATGTAAACAGCCCCTCCCACTATTTAATGCAGCACAGGAGCACAAACAGTTACAGAGCATCAATCAATGTCATCAATCAATAATAAAAATATACTCTTTCACCAACCAGTATTTCAACATTTTCACCTTCAAACCACCTAGAACTTGACTTAGTAACAATCTTCTGGAAGGACAAGGTTGGAGAGAGGAAGTCAAGCAGAAGTAAAATAAAGTTAAGATTACAGAAGTTAAAGTTAAGAATAAAGAAAAAGGAGGAAGAACTGACAAGAAAGAATAATGAAGGCAGGTTTATGAAGATAAAATGACACCAGAAAAATCAGATAACTTGCTTCAGTTTTCATCAAACTGGAAGAAAACCAAAAAATAATAGAGACACAGTAGATTCAATCTGAACTTCAGCAAAATATTTAATATACTGACTTACAAAACCTTCAATGAAAAACAAAATCCACGTGAATTGTAGTCAAAGCACTATATTACAAACCAAAACCAAGTTAAACAAAATATGAACAAAAGGTAGTAAGTGCACTGAAACAGATCACAAAAGGGTCCCAAACTGATCCTCAGGAATTCATACAGGAATCTATTTTACATAATGTCTTCAGCAATCATCCATATAGGATGAAGACAATCCCTGGGAAACCAAATGCTACAATCCTGTAATACACTCCAAACTCAAGTGGTGACATAAACAGTATAAAGCAGCCTAAAACCATTAAAGATGCATCGACAGGGAAATCAAATGGGATTCACCATGGTAAAATACAAATTACATGAGCACAGTAATCCACTCTAATTTAAATTCCATAATGTGGAAATACTGCTACTTGTTAAGTAGTTCTACTCTTGATCCATACTCCAGAATTAAGTCAACTACACAGCCTGTCAGTTTCAAGCTACCGACAGAATAAGATTTCAACACTCACAGGAAGCAAATGCCCCAATGAAGACATTAATGAATGAATTAGTAGTCATCTTGAGGATTTGGGAGGAAGTCGCTGGAATGAAGAGAGAGAAAGGTGTAAAACTACTCACCTGCTGTGACCTTTGTCTACAGGAAAAATGCGGATGGACTTATCAAAGCTGGCAGACACAAATTCTTTCCCAGTGGGTGAATAATCCACATCAAGAACAGCAGACACGTGATCCATATGCACCATTACAGGTGATTCAAGAAAGCGCATATCAAAAGTATATAAGCTTTAAAATAAATACACCAGTAGCTTAGTATCATAACAAGTCCCAAGTAAACAGTACATTTTACATAAACCACACTTAAGGATAGAGCCATATTGCAGAGGGAATACCTTAAAACAGCCTATAATACATGAAAAGAAAGAAAACAGCACAGTTTAGGGTTTGAAAGATATTTGTTAATCAGAGAGTCTACTTATTGGATCAGGTTTCTTGCTCCCTATCAAAGGACAGATAGGATCCACTTCATCATCTGTCCATGGGTCAGACTGCAGATATCACACTGGCCTCCTTTAAACCATCTTCCCATGTAAGAATGCACCCTGAACTTGTAAAAGCATCTCTCAATCATTACAGCAAGCCTGTCAGTTCTGAAAGGTTTCTAAATATTCCTGTACTGTGAACTCCCAGTAATTCAGAGTCTACTGTAACGTTCCATTTGGTTGGCACCCTTTGTTACTGCCTAATTATCTTAGGCAGACAAGTGCAAGGACAGATTGGTTTAGCAAGTCTAGGAGTACAGGGAAAGCCTGGTCCTTACCCATAGAGATGTTAGTACTGCAGAGCACACTATCTATAGAAAAACATTATGTTAAAAGTAAACACCCAGCTGCTGGACCACAGCTGCTCCTAAGGACTTTAAAGCTCAGTTAAGTCCCACCTCTACTCTCTTTGAATAAAGAAGCTAGGCATAATTACTATGTAGATCATCAAATAAGCATATGTGCTTTACAGACAATGCATTTACTGGAACCTGATTAAGATATACTATTTAGTAGAACTATTATGTTAAAAAGATTTAATTCAACAGGTTTCTCGCCTTCTGTTCTGCAGATATGCATAACTCAAATTAAATATACCTTCCTGAATACTGTAATGGTGATTATTGCTTTTTCCTTCTAAATTCCCCAAGAGAGAGTATGCCGCATCTTATTCAAAACTGCTACTCCATATAACTAGCAAATACTTGCATATGCATTGTTAATGTGTGTATTTGCCCTTGCATATTAAATACTTCAGGCTGCAAGAGGACAGTTGTCCCTGAAAGCAAGAGCTATAGTTTTTAGTTTAGCGAGAGGAAAAAAAAATTTAAAAAAACTCCCAAACCAGCCAACAAGCAAATACATAAACAAAAACCCCAAACTTATAAACAAACAGATTAGGTAGTCTAATAGTTTTACCATACCATAAGATAAATATTTAAAAAACCAGCACATTGAATATAACACCACTTTCAAGGTCTGAGCCAGATTCCATTTCCTTAGAAAAACAGCCTTAAGATAAGTGATAAAATTCCTGTGTTTTAGAAAAAACAGTGATCTATTGTTAGATCACTGACTTCCTGGAAAAAAGGATATGGAGCATATTTGCAATGGCCTAGTTTAGAAGAGACAGCTTTTTCAATATCAGATTAGCAGTTCACATGAATACTATTGTTCAAAAGTAAAAAACTGCTCCAAGACATTGAAAGGATAAGTACTGCAGTCTCCAGAACTGTCTCACAAAAGATTAATTTACTTTTTTAAAGAAATGTTCTCATCAAAATAGCTGATCAGTACAATGTATCAAGCTTCACAGGAGCTAGCAAGAAAATAAACACTTATATTGCCTCAGACTGGACCAATAGCACTTATTTTCCAGGGCCCATTTCAAATAAAACTTGCATTGGTTCAGCTGCATTTATTCTGTCACACTGCTTTTTACCCCCCAAATACTGAGAGATGCAGAGAGGTCTACTATCAATTCATATTTCTTAAAATCAGTACGCCCATAATTCTCTAGGTTATTAAGCAATTCAAATTAAGAGCTTGAGTTGTCTTTTAAAATTTATTTTAGCATGATCATAAATCACCAAGATACAGATGAAAAATATAACCTGTCCAGGATTATCAAAAAGTAAGGTTACACTTACTTGTAATCTTCATTTGCTGCAGTAAAAATGAATGCTTCCATAGGGTTCCAACACAGTGTATTTGTCCTCATGTTCAAGATAACCTGAAATATATTTACACATTGCTACCTTGTTAAAGGCAGTAAAAGACAGTAAATGCAGTTCAAAACTTCCTACATACTCCTGAAGACAAGCACTTAGAGGAATAGTACAAGACAGAATGTTTCCTCACCAGTGCTAGAAGTGAAACCCAAGAACCTCCTGTTCCTCATTACATGTTTACTGCTTTGGGCTACACAACAATTAAATTTTCCTCTGTAAATCATCTTAGAATCAAATTCTTCTAAGTGGTCATTTAACATGGCAACCCGCTAGTGGTCAACAAGTAAATCTGGAACTTCAAAAAATTTCACTTCTGTCCTATTTACAGGAATCTTTAGTTGAGTAATCTGTAGACAAACCTAATTAAATGGTTATTTCAAGGGATATAGTCATTAACTGAAGCTGTGAACCAGCATTTGCAAAGCAATTGTAACATATTTATGTTCTCCCAGTTATTACCCCTTCATTATTTTATGTCTAAAATTGCAGTTCACCAATTCTCCTGGCCAGTTGCCATTTCTTGTGGAAGTGCCAAGCAATGCACACAGAAGTTACTGGGTTGTCAGGTACTGAGCACTCTCACTGTATCAGCAGTGAATCATTCCTCACACATTTGTAAGATTTGCTTGCTGCTTGTAAGCATATGGCCAACGAAGAGGCCAGCTGGCCCTGAAGTGGGAGGAAGGCAGCTGATAACAGACTAATAAAACCCTTCTACTACTTTGCTAACTGCAGACTAGACAAGAGGCACTAGCAAGCTGTATGTTGGATGTCCCCACCTTGGAGGACAGCTGGGCCCCTGTGGGACTAGGCAAGGCAAGGAGGAAGTCATCTGACACACCAGACACTGCAGCTTCGGCTTCTGCCGAGTCTGAGAGGAACTCCCAACCATTTATTTGAAAATAAGAACTATACAGTATGTCTGACACAAAGTGGATGTGTAATTACAGAGCTACTGATTAACAAACTGAACAACTTCAAACAGGATTTTCCACAATGCTCCAGGCCAGCTATAATCCTACTTAAAAATGCTGAAAGTTGGGTGTTTAATGCTATGGTACTCAAACCACATTCTTGTTCTTGGCTTACTACAGCAAACACCATAAATTTACACACATATTTCAGAATATAGAAACAAGTTAATAGTGATGATTTTACTGAACACCCCTCCAAGAGATTGCAATGATTGTATGTCTATTCCTGTAATTCTCATTCTCCCTAAATCCTCATTTCCTAGGTGACACCATCCTGTGCTGCAGAACATTGCTAATTTTCAGATATGCATGCAACCAGAAGCGAATGTAATTATCAGATCTCTAAAGTGACCTCTAATTTAAAAAGTAGACACTGAGATGTCCTCTGTTTACACTAATATGACAACTAGAATTTGCTCAGATTTCAGTATTGTTATAGTTATAAAATTCGCACACAACTGGGAAGTTAATAATCAAGAACTGTTCTTTATTCCTTCCTTTACAAGTTTATCAGCCACTGCAAAATGAGCACACAATTAATGTTAACCCACCATATCTATAGTAAGTACTTTAAGTCATGTTACAAAATAACTTCAATATTGCTAAAACTCCAGCTCTTTCAAAAGGAGTCAAGTCCCGTCATGCTCCAAATCTCTATTTTTTCACCAAAATTTACAAGTAGTTGATTTCAGCAGTGGCTTTTGGAATTAAAATAGTGCCCAAGAAATGGGACTGTCTCTACAGTTCTAGCATTAGGTTTAATAACAACTAGACTAACCAGGTAAGGTAACCTGGCCTGGAAGTGATTTAAGTTGCTGTAAATACATTAATAATGGCATTTCGGAATTATCTAAACCCATAACAGAGCAATTTTTAACTGCTATTTTTAATCTATTGTACATCTTCTTAGAAAATGGGTAAGTTTAAGTCCCCATTAAGACAAGTCAAAATTGTGAAGTCCCTGAAGACTTGGTTCTCTGGGTTTAATCATTTTAACTGTGAGCAGTTGCTTATAAAGAATGTCAGCCTGGAAATGTTGAGATTACTTCAACACAGAAACATTACCCAAATAATTAACCTATATTTCTTTACTACCTACAAGGTTTTTGGTTGAGATGAGCACCTAAGAATGTAACAAGCAAGAGAAAACACAGTTCCTGTGAGCTGTTTAAATACTAAAGTCTATTTTTACAACACCCTAAGCTTTCCTGATCACACAGGTTGCAAAAAAATTACTTTTAAAGTGTACCAATTTCTATTAAAATATTTTCCTCTTGTCTTTCAACAGAATTGCTTTAATTCATCTTTCTCCCAGCTTTTTTTAGACGAGTTCTTTTGAAGCTCGGTAGCATCTCACTATCTCATCCCTCCCTTTTTAAAACGCAAGGCTTTGAAACCCACACTCAGGACAAACGGGCAACAGAGCTACTGCTTCACGATGTGAAAAACGTGTGAATAGGAACACATGTGTGATGTACTCCTATTTCCATCAATGAAGGCACTCCCACCGAGTTCCAACTGCTTTGCTGATCAAGTCCCAGGAACAGAGCAGTGTCAGAAACCAGTGCCCATGCATAAGTAAGGTACTGCTAATGAGCAAAACCCTTCTCTTAGGAGTTCAGAGCTCTTAGCTCTCAATGCAGAAATGGATGTTTCACCTCCTCTTCACAACAGAATTATCACTATCCCAGCAAGAAACCCAGTACTGCGCCCATGGAAGCAAGGAAGTACTAACCAGTGTTTTATTCCTACAGCAGGAAATGCACCTCAGCCCACTGCTTGCATGAGACACACATACACAAACATGTGCACACAGCCTATAATCTATATGCGTACACATGTACAATCATATATTTAGCATATATATATATGTAAAAATATGTTAGATTCAAACTTAGTTCACAAAGGATCAAGCTGCATCCTTTGCAGCTCTACAGCACTGGCTGTGTTCATGTCAGCATTCAGGTCTTCAGGTGGCATTGCTGACAAGTTTCTATAAGCACTGCCTCAGTGGCCCAAATGAAACTTCACTAAAAATTGTTGGGGCACAGAGAGAGAAAAAAATACTGTTATGCCAACAACACTCCTTTTTAGAACTAAGTATAATTTTAACCTTGTAGTGTGTATCAGCTCAATGATACTGCAGACAGTATGCAACACTGAGTGCATACTCACAAGCCAGACCATTGTATTTCAAGAAGAATATTGTTAAGATAGTTCTGGGGCTCAGAACTACTGAACTTGATTGAGGTTTGACACGCATGTATAAATTACCAGCTTCTTATCTAAATAAATACAAATATTCTGTTAAATAGGAATCTTTAGGTCATCAGTACCTTCTATATAAGTATTATTTTGATTACACTGCACAGAATTTCTGAATGTTTATAGTAGGTGTATAGTGAAGGGTTTGTCTCCCTTCGAAGGAGAAACACCTTTTCAAATACAGACCAAGGCTCTCCAGTGGTGAAGCTACCTTGTTTCCTTCTGGTAAGGAAGAGAAAAAAAATCTAAAAAAAAAACCACACATACATAGACAGAATGCAATACAGGAACATAAAGTTCTTATTGTGAAGCTACTGTCAGGTCAGGCACTTGATCAAGAATTACAACAGAGCAAGTATGACAGCCTGTCTGAATGCAGAAAAAGGCCTTTCCAACTCTGTATTGTTTAAATCCCAACATTAATTCAAACTCAGAAGACTGAGACAATGAAAACTCAGTTAACCCAGAATTCTGAGCTTCCTGTTCTCTACTATCACCAACAGTTACAAGCTATTAATATATTAAGTATGATTATTACCATCAGCAATTAATAATAAAGAGAAAAATAGTACCTTCTTTAATGGAGTTGATTTTCTCATATCATATAGCACAATATTTCTGTCAGAAGCACAGCTTCCCAAAAGGTAAGTCTGAAAAAAACAAACAAAACCAGTGTGTATGGTCTTTTGATTACATCTAGAGTGTGATTAACAGCTTACATCATATACCTAAGCTATTTCACAAAGCTGGTTATGAGTTTCTTTCTCAGTCAAGGAAATACATTCATCAATTTTTCTATGCAGCTAATTACCCAGCACAAACATTTTAACTATCTTTCCCTGTAAGATTCAGAATCCATGCAGTGCCCTCTACTTTAAAACAGACAATTCCTCATAAACACTTCTTCTATGAGCATAGTTCAGTCAAGGGGTATAACAGAAGAGCTGTATAAGATCAAATGCAATGGTTTTGCCTTGGAGAGGGTGAGAAGTCTCAGTCACAGGGTGTAGAATACCAGAACAAAAACTGGCAGCTTCACAGCTACTTAAGTGCTATACTGTATGACTGAGGTACTAGGTATGTATTGTTGTGGGTGCCCTGCTTTTGTTTCTCCTCTCACACACTAACAGAGCCAAAAGGTAGGAAGATAAAATTATATGGTACTACATTCCAAAATAATATAACCATCAAAATCTATGTGTATATCCTCTTACATATTCCATTCAAACATAAAATACAAATTTGGGAGAAAAAAAATCAAGATGGTGTAAACAGAGTTTAGATCTCGTACTGCTCAAGAAAAATACTAATTTTCAATATATAACATAATCATTACCTCAATGGGATTAAATTTTACACTGCTTATGCTATCAAAACCCCAAGTCAGAGAACATTTGGGGCTTGTCCTTTGTTCATCCCAAATGTCCACCTGATGGCCACAGGTAGCAAAAACAGGCTCCTTCCAGTGGTGATCAATTCCTGTATACACTGTCTTTAAGAGGAAAAACAAAGCAAAAATTTTAAAACCCAATTGTATTCATAAATACTCAAGCATGTTCTATTAGAAAAAAAAAAAGAATCAACAAAACTTTTGCATATGGAGTCTCACATGGTTTTTCTCATTTATATTTCTGAAAATTAAGTCACCAATGCTACAAGAAACTAATCAAATATACCCCTTCCAGTAGGCAAGCTTTCTTTTCCATTTAAGGTGTATGTATGCATTTCTTGTTAATTTACAGTGGAGTTGGCACTAAAGGCATATTTAAAAAATCCTGGCTGATTTTAAAGCAAATGAAAATTTTAAGAGTGCAACTGTATTTTCAGTGGGGACTTGAATGGATTCCACAGACACTGTGGTAACCAAAGAATTTCAATCTATTTGAAAAAAGCATTTAATGTTTTTCCTAACATCAGCTTATCATAAGTCCAAAGTGCCAAAATATCATTTTTAGACTGCTTTTGTAAATAAGAAAGATGTAAAGCTAGTATTTTGTATTGAATGACTGTGAGATATTGGTTTGAAAAGTAAGTTATTTAATGCAGACTAAGCACTCACAACTCATCTGAAGGGACTACAGAGAAATGCTACTAGTTTGCAGAAAAGGCATAATTAGTACAGACAGAGCTAAGCAGTCTCTGGTTGCCTTGGAGGAGTCCTTTCAGGTTACATGTAAAGTAACTGTAATAAAAACATGATGATACTTTAGAAGTGCCATTATAAAATTTGATGCCATCAAATTACAACCCATTATGATAATAGGTGATATCATGCTATTTTTCTCTTCTTTAAAAGCTAGGTAAGAAATTATTCAGAACTTAATTCAAAAGAAGAGATGCGGGAAAATCAAAACCCAGATTTACTACCTTTCCAAGAATTGTATGTATAGGTTCTTCTTCTTCTCCATATTCTGGGCTCTCCATTTTCCATTGCTTCACGGTTTTGTCATCACCAACCTGGAAATATTGGAGAAATCATGTACAGTTTCATGTAAATATATTCCCTTTTATTTTGCTAGATGTGCTTTGCAATTAAATACAGGCATCCTTTAAAAAAAATATTCTGTGATATACACAAATGCTTCCTCTTGCCTCCTCATTGTTCCACTTTATACCTCCAAGCTACAGATTAGCTCTCTTGGTCATAATATGTCATTAAAACACGCACGTGGTCTGGCTGGAGTGAACATTCTTCATAGCAGCTCACCTGGCACTGTGTTTTTGATGTGTGGGTGAAACAGCCCTGACACAGCACCCAAGCCTTGGCTGTGCATTTCCCCCTGCTCCCACTCTGTCTCCATCATCCCTGCCTCACCCACCAGCAAACAGGCTTGGGGTGGGCAGCAGACTGGGAGGGGACACAGGTGTGACAGATGCCCTAAACTGGCCAAAGGAGCACTCCATAGAATAGAACAATGCCCTGCAATAAAAGCTGCAGTACTGGGAGCAGAAAGAGACGATGGGGGCTGCTCAGAGATTGTCTGGGGATCTGTCAGCTTCTGAGAGCAGGTGATTGATTCCCAGCTCATCACTTGTTTCCCATCACCACCTTTCCTTCACCTATTCCACTGTCTATCTTGATCCACAAAGCTTTTCCATGTTCCAAAATAGATAGCTGAATAGGGAAAAGGTGAGCTGGAATGATGGCTATTTTATAAGATTCATTTTGTGGCACCTACATTGCACAGTATCTTCTGGAAGTCACTCTGGTGAGCCTGCAATCAGTTAAAAGGCACTTTCCACCCCAGTTGCTCTGGTTGCCTGTTCCAAATTTTGCTCTACCTCTTGCACTAATGCCAGCACAAGCTTTTTCAGGGCTGTGCAATGACTTGGATCAGGAAAACAGGCCTAAAAAACGCTAGCTTTACAAGTTGATCTTGTCCTTCTGGCTGCACTACTACTGTTTCTCTCCCTCTCTCAAGTTTCAGGCAGACGGATTGTCAAAAGTGGACTAACTAACTTGGAGTCACTTTAGGATTTTTTACTGTGACTTTCCCTATATCCTAAATACTGTCCCTGTGACTTGGTATATACCTTGGAAAAAATAAATATACTGTATCAAAAATAGCACTTCTATGACCAGTTCAAACAAAGCACAACCTCAGGACATTTGAGTTTTCAAAAACAGTTTTTGTTGTGTTATCTTAGAACTGTTTTAATGTCAACAAGAAGATATACTATTTCCAAGGAGTTTACATGCAACTGCATCTGTTGTGGTTTTTATGAATTAATAAAGCTTTATTAAACTGGAATGATCTTAACTTAATCAGATCACTTTTAATCATATTATATGCAAGTGCTTACTTTTTCACATGGTATATGTATATGCAAATGGATACTTTTAAACTCTTTTACATCTTGCAATGAACATAATCCATTTACTACTTTAACAAAAACTAGTTTACTCGAGTTTTAATTACATGACCATCTGTTAGCTCTTTGCTGGTATTTATACCTTTGAAAGTCTTGAATGACATCCATATTACAGCATTAGAAAAAACTCCATCCTAAACAGAACTGCTGGGTTCACCAACACATTTAATTAGTGTATTCATACAATATTTAAATATTCAATGGCAGAGAGCAAGCTTCTCAGTGGAAAACAGATGGTGAGCAGGTACTCTGTGCTGCTGCACTGCTAAGGAGACACATAATACTTACAGTGAAGAACGATGTACCACAGAAACGGGCACACATGCCTCGAACAAAGCCTTCATGGGCTTGTATAGTGCGGATACACTTTCGTTGGGTCAAGTTCCAAATTTTAACCTGATAAAAACAAAACAGCAAAAATTCTGTAAGCTTTCTACAGCCCACAGCTGCAGCTTACAATTCAAGCACAAGAGATCACACATGTTGTAATGCAATGGCAGAGCTGGCTTGGACACCAGTCAGATTTCTTTCTTGAAAAGTAATTTTAAAAGTGAGACTTTTTCATTCCTACCCTCCCCCCCGACCTAAGCTGAATACTTTCTGCATTTTGCACTCCCCTATATTTGAAATATAATTATTACTAAAAAACCAGCAGCAGTTATAAATTTAGAAAAGTAATACCCCTTTAAAGACAAAAGTACAAAGAAATTTGGAACCAACAGATTTTTTTCTGTCCAGCTTCTGTACTACATTGTCTATAGATGTCCACTTCTCAGAGAGGTTTCTGTTTCAAAGCTTTTGGGCCCATTTAAAAAACAACAATAAAGAAACGGAGGCCACTTTTTATATTTTTATGTATTTACAGTACTTTACTTGCTTTATCAGTAGATAAGAAATTTGGATAAGAACTTTCATAGAATTTCTTCCACTTCTCTCTGAAAAGGTTAACCTCCCTTACACTACTGCATGACATGCACTTTCTAAAAAAAGCAGAAAGCAACCAACTGCCCAGAAGACACCTTTAAAACACTCAAGTACTACCAAATGAGCAACATAAGGATGAGAAAAGACAGGTAATTCAGAAGAGACTATTTTTTTCTGCAACTAGTTCCAATTAAAGTGTCCTTGATTGCTATTTATAATAGTTATGTAAAACAATTAATTGAATATACATAGGGTTAGCCTTTTCTAGGCAGTGGGAAACCCTGTTATTCCAAAACATTTTTGGTTGTAGGTCCCTCCACTCTAGCTAATCTGGCAGTTTAACTTCTATTGGTGGGGGAAGAGTGGGGGGTCATGTGGGCAGCAAAAAGCAATCACAATGTGTACTGGGTTTGTATGGCCAGGCTTTAGTACTGGGAGTCTACAGGGGTGGCTTCTCTGAGAAGCTGCTGGAATCTTCCTCCACATCCAGCAGAGCCAATGCCAGCCAGCTTCCACACAGAGCCACCACTGGCCAAGACCAAGCTAATAAGAAATGATGATAACAATTCTGTGATAACACACTTAAGAAGGAATAAAAGTTAGTGGGCAAATGTAACTGCACTCAGAGAAGAGAGGAGAGAAAATATGTGAGGGAATAACTCTGTAGGCACCAAGGTGAGGGAAGAATGCAGAGGAAGAACTGAGGTTCCTCTGAGCCTGTTGTGAAGACCATGTTGAGGCAGCAGTGCCTCTGGTGCCCATGGAGGAGGTTAATGGGAGTGCAGAGATCCACCTGCACCTGTGGAGAACACCGAGGCCAGGTGCACCCAAAGCAGGCTGTGATCCACTGCAAGTCCTCGCTGGAGCAGTCTCCTGGCAGGGACCTCTGGACCAATGGAAAGAGGAGCCCACACTGGAGCAAGTCCTGGTTTCCTAGGACTAGCAACCCTGTGGGGGATCCACCCTGGAGCAGCCTGCTCTTGAGGGACTTCACAATGTGGAACAGTCACCCACACAGCAGGAATTCATGAAAAGCTGCAGCATGCGATGTTGGGAAGGATGGATAAATATAATTACTCACAATAGTACAGCCAGGATGAAAACAATCCTCCCTACTGGCTGGACAATACCCTTACCTACAGATAAATCCAAAAGTCAAATAGACTGTTCCATCTCACCCCCCAAAATGTAGGGTTCATCCCACACCAGTACCCTCCCCTAAAACATCAAGTGCCTGTAACCCCATTTGCCCAAGCCTTGTTCCAGCCCACCTTGAAGCCCCTGATAAGGGGTCTCTGAGGGGCCAGACGCCCTGTTGGATCTTCCCCCCTCTTGGGACTTCCACCCTCTCCTAGAGCATCCTCTTGTCTCTCCCTTCCCCTCAAGCCTTGCCACGTGCTGCATCTGGCAGCTCCAAGCAAGACCTTTCCCCATCCCTAATAAACCTGATATCCCAAGAGCAGCCTTCAGAGATCTCTCGTCTCCATTCATCTAAACCATCCTGGAGCACAGCGCTCCCTACAATGTGGAAAGGACTCATACTGGATAAGGTCATACACCTCCTCTCACTGAGCAGAGGCAGGAACAACTTGTAATGAATTGACTATAACCTCCTTCCCTCATTTCCCTGTGCTGCTGGGGAGGAGAAGGAAGAGCCTGGGAAAGGAGGGAGGGTGGGGGGAAGGTAGTTTTAAGGTCTTATTTTACTTCTCATTGTTCTGTTCTGAGTTTGTTAACAATAAAGTCAATTAATAACCCCAAGTTCAGTCTGTTTTGTCCCTAGTAGTAAGAGGTGAGTGATCCCTCCCTGTCCTTATCTCAACCCACAAACCTTTCACTATAGTTTGTCTCATCGATTTGTCTCCCCTGTACAGTGGCAGAGTTTACAGAGAAGCAAAAAGTTTCAACACCACGTGAGGATGAAGGTAATACACTGAATGAAGACAGTGAAGTGTGACAAAACCAACCAACAACCCAATGAAATGCAAAAGAGAAAAAAGATGTGTGTTTGTTGTGGTTTGTAAGCTTACCTCTCCATCACAAGCTCCAGACAGCACAGTAGACAAACTTTTTGGATGTTTGGCCATGCAATTAACTCCATCTCTGTGGCCATCAAGTGAACTAAGAAAGGGTTTTGCAAACACACGTTCTAGCTTTGTGGCATTCAGAGCTCTTACGTATTCTCGTGCAACCTCAAATGGATGCAATACAGGGTCGTAGTTCCTTGGAACTGCAACAGAAAGAAGACACATTAGAAACCCACACTGGAGCAGGTCCAGAAGACAGATGAACAGAGGGATGGACTACCTCTCCCACGAGAAAAGGCTGTGAGAGCTGGGGCTGTTCAGCCTGAAGAAGAGATGGCTCCAGAAAGACCTCAGCTGGCCTTTCAGTACTTAAAGGGGGCTATAAGAAAGATGGGGACAGACTTTAAGACGGTCTGATATGACCATGAGTAACAGTTTTACACTTGAAGAGGGTAAATTTAGACTAAGTAGTAATAAGAAGTTTTTTTACAATGAGATGACACATGCCCCATCAAGGCTCTGAGCAGCCTGAGCTAGCTGAAGATATCCCTGTTCACCACAGGGCAGGGTGTGGGGAGTTGCACTAGACAACCTTTAGAGCTACCTTCCAACCTACAAAACTATTATTCTGCGTGTAAAATCAACACAATTTTTGGCAGTTTCAATAATGAATATACAAGAAGCAGAACTTGACGAACCAGGAATGAAACAGCATTAAGTAAACAGCAAAGCGTAACCTAGGAAATACTAAGCTCAATCTCGGGGTACCAGAACAGTGATCAAAGCCCCAGCCTCGCACTCCTGCTCTTGGGCTCCGGAAGCTCCGGGCTCTGCCAGCCCGAGGCGCAGCTGCCGGCCCAGCCCGGCCCCGGGCCGCGGCAAGGAGCTCTCCGCACGCAAATCCCGCCTGGGACCGGCACCGCGGGAACACGCCGGCCGCTCGGAACGAGGGAAGCCCAAGGCCCCTGCCCGAGCGCTCCGATTCTCGCTGCTGGCGGACACCGGCGCAGCGGCCGAGGGGAGGGGACCGGAGCGGAGCAGGGCGCGGACGACGGACGCCCGAACGCCTTCCGGCCTTGCTGCCGGCCTCATCCCTTCCGGGCGGGCCGTGCCGGGGGCCGATCCCCGATGCCGGGACCGTGCCGGGGGCCGATCCCCGATGCCGGGGCCCCGCTCACCGCGCTGCAGGTCCAGCTTGGTCTCCCGCACGTAGTCATCGGGGTTGCGGCTCAGCACCTTCACCCGCATCGCGCCGCCCGCGCGCCGCCCGCACACGTCACCGGATGCGCCGCGCGGGCCGCTCTCGCGCGAGGGCGCGAGCCCCGCCGCGGCCCCGCCCCTGCGCGCGCGCGGCCGGCGATGGGCGTCGCGGGTGCGGCGTGCGCGGCGCGCGAGCCGCGGGAGCCGCGGGAGCCGCCGCCGCCGCGCGAGCCGGCCGCGCGCTCCGTGCTGCGGCACGTGCGGCTGGAGATCCTGGCGGCGGGCGTCGGCGGCGGCGTCCTGTCCACCCTGGCGCTGCACCCGCTGGACCTCGTCAAGATCCGCTTCGCAGGTCAGGCCCCCCTCGCCCTGCTGCGCCGAGCGCGCACCGGCGTGCCCGAGCTCGCCAGCCCGGGCCGGGACCTGCCGGGCTCCCTGCCCGAAGCCCGCGCTGTTCTTCCTGCCCGCCCCGGTGCCGGCGGGCAGCCCCCGGCTCGGAGTAAACTGGCCGGGAGCCGAAGGGGGCAGCCCCCGGCTCGGAGTAAACTGGCCGGGAGCCGAAGGGGGCAGCCCCCGGCTCGGAGTAAACTGGCCGGGAGCCGAAGGGGGCGGTGTCCCATTCGGGACACCCGCTGTCCCATCGCTGTCCCGAGGCTTCTCCTTGCCGCTTGTCGGGACTGAAGCGCGCCGTGTGCCTCGAGCTGTCTGCGGCGGGTCAGAGAGCTGCCAGCCCCTTCCCCCCTTCCCGAACACCAGTGCCGGAGGCACCGGAGCGCTGTCCCAAGCCCACGTTCAAAGTTCACCTTTATGCCGGAGATTTTCAGCACTCAAAGCGTAGCGGTGGTTTTGGAATAACCTTGGTTGTTAACAATGGTGGTATTGTTTTGCAGAAAACTCTGTAACTAGTTTGTTTTTCCACAGGGAAACATGGTGACTTCTCTAGACTTTTCTGCTAACTTGAGAAACTTGTCCACCATTTATCATATTCTCTTTCAGAGACGTGGAAACATTTTACTGTATCTTTGGATTGTTTTCTTAAATAGATACATGGATATTTTAAGATCTCAAAACCAAACTATCACAGAGAAATTTTACAAAATTCAAAACGTTGCATGTCCTAGTTGGGCACATCCTGGGCTGCATTATGAAAAGCACAGCCAGCAGAAGGGCTCTTTTCTCTCTGTTTTCCATTTGTAAGACTATGTCAGAAGTACTGTGTTTACTTTGGGGCTCTCCGGGACAAGGAAGGAAGACAATGACACACTGGTGCGACTCCAGTGGAAGCCACTGGACTGGCAAAGGGGCTGGGGCACATGGCATAGAACAGGCTGATGGAACAGGATCGGTTTGGCCTCAGAAAGGAAGGGCTGAGGGGAGCTAAAATTGCAGTCTATGACAATGTTATTGGAAGACACAGAAAAGGTAAAGCCGGATTCTTGGTTAGTAGGCCCAAAAAGGAACAGGCACAAGTGTGAACTTGGAAAATTCCAGTTATTTTACTGTGAGAATGGTCAAATACTGGAAAAGGTTACCCAGACAGACTGTAATCTCTTCAGCCATGGAAACATTCAGGAGTCAATTGGTCGTGTCCCTAAGTAACCAGATCTAATTAGATCTGATTTGAGTACAGGTTTGGATTAGGTGGCTTTTGGAGGTCATGTACTTTCACATGATTCTTTGGGTTGAAAATAACAATTCCTATCTTTTGTCTTCAACCAGGAAGCAGGAGCTGATATCAAAAATTAATCTTGTGAAGATTCTTGGCAGCGTCATTGACAGAAAGACTTGCATTTGCGTCTCTGATTTCCAATGTTGTTTAATATGTTTATAAACTTGATCTAGTGTATGCATGGTAAAAAATTTCACAAATGTCTTTGGAAAGGTCTAGCAACACTTATTCGGAAAGGAGAAAAGAGGTGTTTGTGTTCTAGTTTTGAGTGGTTGTCAAGGTGTTGAGAGCTGTTGTCACACTGTGCTCAGCAAAAGCATTTTGTCTTTAATGCTGAAGCATGTCACAATGTCTATGGAACACAGAGTTCAAGGGGAATTAGTAATAAATATGGCACTGAACAGAAAATGCCTGTTTACCAGGATTAGTTTTGATGGGGACACAAAACTACACTTCTTGTAAAACTTTGAGATCAGTTTTCAGTACAGTTGCAGTCTAGCCACATACCTGTATTAAGAATGAAAGCTGTTGCTATGTTTGCATTGTAGAGTAATTGAGGTGAGAAGAGAGCTAAGGAGTTCACCCCCTACTCAGATAAGCTCTGCTTAGATCAGTTTGTTCAGTCTTGTGTACTGGAGTTTTGAGTAGCTCCAAAGATGCTCTTCAGGCTACTTGTTCAAGTATTTGGCCATTCTTCTGGATAAAAAGTTATGGTCAAAACTCCCTGTATTTCAGCTTGTGTCTGTTACCTCTCATCATCTCATCATGGACTGTATCACATATCTCATCAGTAATCAACTTATTCCTTTGTTGTTATGGTAGGAGCAATAGTAGTTACCACACCAAGTTTTGTAGACATCCACGTTCTACATGATCTGTCAGAAAAAAACTTGTGTGTTTTCTGCATTTTTGAAGTGATAATTTCTTAACATTTGAACCACCAGCTGTTAGATTATTAGGTGGAAGAAGAAGCCCTTGAGTATTTTGATAAAAACTGACTTGGCAATCAGTAAGACGTGACCCATTGTGTAACAGAACATTTTAAAGAGAAAATTTTAATTTAAGGGTTGTTACTTAGGACTTATTTAAACAGCTTAGAGAAACATGTCAAGGATGCCATCCATATCACTTGAAATATGATGCACAATTGCTGCAGTACTCAAAAGAAGAGACAGAAAACTTCAGATCTGCTCCTCATCAAAAATGTATGAAAGTGCATTTATTTAACCTTGTCAGATTAATAGGAACGTTACTCTTACTGAGCTAAGTAATTCTCTCTTCTTCCCCCCGTTTTTTCCCTAAGTTCTTGAACTCTAGGCTTATAAAGCTGTAAAGCCCAACTCTTGCATACTGGTGAAATAAAACTTGTGTAATACAGCTGATCAGTTAGTTTATATGTTTATTTATGCTTGCTTTAGAGGCTGTGGACTTCTGTGTTGGCTTGGATGCAGTTGAACCTAATGCTTCCTGAAATGTTTTCCAGTATCATTTCTTTCTTTCGTAGTAAGCGATGGATTGGAGCTGAGGCCAAAGTACAATGGAATTCTTCACTGTATGACCACAGTCTGGAGGCATGAAGGACTTCGAGGCTTGTACCAAGGGGTAACTCCAAACATGGTGGGAGCAGGGGCCTCCTGGGGACTTTACTTTTTTTTGTAAGTAGAACTGTAAAATGTGTCACACCCTGCACATTGTAGTGTTCAGATATACATTGCATCTTCTTTGTGGGGTATAAAAATGTGCTAAGGGACATAGAAACTTGTCATTCACTTAGCTATTCCAGGTTCGTTAATGTTTATTATGGTTTGCTGTTTTAGAATTTAAGCAATTTGAGTCAGAGACCTGTTCCTTTGTCAGCTACAGTGCATTCCCTTGATGCTGTGAAAATACTAAGGAATTTGAGAGGTGGTGATACTATTCATAAAGAATTCTCTTAAAGTGTTCTTAAGACATCATGAAAAGTGAGAATCTAAATTGATTTCTTAAAAATTAAAGAGTATGAAGTTTTTTACCAAAACTAAATATTTGATTGTTTTTAATTATTTTAGTGACAGTTTTTTCATTGTTTGTGTCAGTTGATAGGTTTTTAAAACCCATTTTTTAATATTCTACTTTATTAACTCCATTACTGCTTATCCCTATCAATTGAAACATTTGAGGGACTAGTTAACTGGCATGCCTATGCAAAGCTCACTTTTGTCTAGACTTTTGTTATTGTTGTACTTCAGTCCTTAAGCTTTGCTGTAGATTGCTATTGACACTTCATCTCCTGTTGACAATTTCTTAATTCATAAAGATTGCAAACTATATCAAGAGAAGAATGCTCAATGTATTTCAGAGCTAGAGGCTAGATACCTAGCACTCTGGCTCCCAATTAACTTATTTTAGAAGTTAATTCTTGATATCTGATCGTTTTCAAGATGCAGTCCCATTGATACTGATAGTTTAATTTTACAATTTAAATATATATTACCATAGTCCACTTGAAAGAGCTGACTGCTTAGATATCAATTAATCAATTAAATAAAGGTAGTTTGGATACCTTTTCTTCAAAGGCTGTGTACCAGCATGATCTTGGGTATGTGATTCTGGATTGTGTTATTTGCAATGTAGGTCTGTTTTCACCTTTGCTGAACTCTGTTGTACATTTTCCAGTTACAATGCCATCAAAGCTTACAAGAAGGAAGGGAAGATGGAAAGTCTCAGTGCGAGTGAACACCTAGTGTCAGCTGCAGAGGCTGGTGAGGTTAAAAGCAAAAATTAATGTTCACTTGTAGCCTTCCCACATGCTGCTACCTGCCTTTCTGTGTCAGTGCAGCTTTTTCTTACATGTGGCAAGTGTTAGTGTTCCAGCCCAGATGCAATAATTTGTGGTCTGTAAATAAAACAAAGATGTCTAGCACAAATAGGTGGGTCACTGTGGTCCAGAATTAGAATTTTGTCCTTGTTTTCATTCTGTATAAGCACTTTCTACATTTAGTACTGTATTGGGTCCCAAATTGTAATCTGTTGCTATCAGACTGTTAACTTGTTAAATTTTAATACTTGGACCTTGAAAGGAGGTGGCCTTTTAAATCATGGAATGGTTTGGGTTGGAAGGGACCTTAAAAATAATCTAGTTCCAACCCCCTGTCTTTGGCTGGGACACCTCTCACTAGACCAGGTTGCTCAGAGCCCCATCAGCTTGGTTGTGAACACTTCCAGAGGTGAGGCATCCACAGATTCTCTGGGAAACCTGTTCCAGTGCCTCACTGCCGTCACAGCAAAGATCTTCTGTCTCATACTTCATCTAAACCTACTCTCTTCCAGTTTGAATCATTCCCCCTTGTCCTGTCACTACATGCTGTACAGGCAATTTGGAAGACTTTTTATTAGGATTTCGAAGCATTCATTTAATGTTGAAATATAAAGCATATTGTTTGACATGAAATATAGTAATGGAT